TGCAGATTTTTTGCCCATTATTAATTCTGTTTATTTACTTGAGTAAATGTGTAAACCTGAATTTATTCAGTTTTTACTCAGTAAACTATTACTTTTTATTTAATATATTAAGGTTTTAGTTATAATACTCCGCTGAATACTCCCAAAATAATTGGGCAGAAATCTGCAGATTTTTACCAAAATTCTCCACAGAAATAGCAAAAAACATTCGCAGATTCCGTCTGGCCCTGCTGATCATGGCCTTAAACTGACCCTAAGATGAAGCATCTCGATTGAAAATGACATCACCGTTCACACTGCAGTCGCATTGAACATCAGATCTGTATTTGTGGATTTAATAACGAATATTAAAGTGGTACAAATCAGAATTGAATAGATTTTATTCGGTTTCTGTTGTTCATGCTGTCATGAAAAAAAAAAACAGAGTAGTCACAAAATTGGATTTGGGCCAAATTTTCCTGCAGTGTGAACATTAGGGTTGAGTATCGTTTGGGGTTATTTCGATACCGGTGCCAAAATGATGTCTGAACCGATACTTTTGAGTCAATTTTATTTTATTTTTTATTTTCTTTAATAATATTAATTGAACAATATAATTATAGTTTAAAGTATACATTAATTCATATTTTATATATTTGAATTGAGTTGCATTAATATATTTCTTTGGATCATTCCTTGGTTAGTATGAATTTAAGATTTGCATTATGCAATTTACATTACACTAGCTTAGTACTAACCTGTGAAAGGCTGTCATCAAAATCAGTGAACACCTTTTTTCAGAGAGCACACACATCATGCGTGTTGACGAATCTAAGGGGAGTTGCACACCCCTTTATTTTTATGTGCGCGTTACCTGCATGCTTGTGTTTCCTAAGCAACAAAAATATAGTCCGTATTTCTCAAAGTTGCTTAGAATTAAATGTTTAGATATGGTGTGACACAAGGCGTAGTTATGTGTGCATTTGATGCACCCTTCTTATATTCTTGTTGCAGCATCAGTGGCACCGAAATTAGGCACTGAAATTCTTTTGCTAATTCGGTCCAGTGCATACCAGTTACATAATTACTAAACCCCAGTGAACGTAAAATTGTTTGAATTTCATTTTTTAAGGAAATGTGCTAAAGCATGTGAGTAAAGTGTTATATATTTGTACAAAACAAATGTTACATTGAACTGCTTCATCTATGAGGATCAGTTAGTTAGAGTCAAAATATGAGTGCTGCCTATTTAGAACAAATGTCACTTCATATTTTGTGCATCTTTCTAAATTCCTAAATATACATGTTTGTTTGTTTGTTTGTTGCCACAAATGCGATTTAAGGCTATTATATGGCAAGACTGATATAGATAAAAACATATTACGTATTAATAACAACTTCATAATTCAATAAACCATGACAGAAAAAAACATTAAATTAAAAACATTAGATATGAATTTTCAGTCTGATAAATGATGAATAACTTCTTATAAATAATAAATGATAAACAAATTCTTCTGAATGTGCATGTTATCATGAAGTACGGCTATTGTGATAAAAGTTACCACAGTCTAAGGGTGCTTTAACACAGTGGTTCCCAACCTGGGGTCCGCGCCCCCCTAAGGGGGGCGCCAGAGTTCACAGGGGGGGCACGGGAGAGGATAAGTATTGAGGTAGAAAAAGGCATAAAAATGGTCCACTATTTTAAAGGGCTTTGCAATTAATCGAAAATCCGATTTAGATTTCGGTTTCAAACGATTATAAAAAAGCATTAATCGAGATAAATGATTATTGCATCATATTTCGCCACAGTTGTACACGTGTTGCTCTTAAAAGCGCGAAAGAGCTTATGTGTGTGTGCAGCACGATCACGCAGTCAGAAGCATGCGGCCGGTCAGCATTCACTCTCATTCGCACACTGAGACGAGCAGAGGAGCGCAGACATCTAAAGTCATCTTAACGTGAACGCTTTAATGGTCAAATAGGTGTCAAAACGCGGTGTTTAGTGATTATTTACATTAACCCTCATTTGTGTAATAAACGAGTTGAGGATCAAAAGACGTGAAAGAGAAACCATTAAAGATACAGCGCGCTATAATCCTGCTGCCGCCTGTTTTTATTATTATTAAACAAACATAACGAGAAAACCTTTGCTGCTCTTGACTGAAGGACTGCTGTAGCCAAAGTGTTTTTCTTACAGTGAAGATGCTTAAAGCACAGTTTGTTTCATATTTTTATTCTATTGTATTTATTTCTCTTTCCATTGCAGGGTGGAAAATTGTATGTATACAGTTAAAGTCAGAATTATTAGCCCTCTTGAATATTAGCAAACCTTTTCCTGCCCAATTTCTGTTTCATGGAAAGAATATTTTATTAACTTATTTCTGAACATAATAGTTTTGATATCTCATTTCTAATTACTGATTTCTTTTTTTCTTTGCTATAATGACAGCACATAATATTTTACTAGATATTTTTCAAAATACAAGCATTCAGATTAAAGTGCTGTTCAAAGGCTTAATTAGAGTAATAAGGCAAGTCATTATAACGGTAGTTTATTCTGCAGACAATCAAAAATAAATATTGCTTAAGGGGGCTAATAATATTGACCTTAAATTGGTTTCAAAATATTTAAACCTGTCTTTATTCTAGCTAAAATAAAACAAATAAAAGAAAAAATATTATAGGAAATACTGTTAAAATTCCTTGCTCTGTTAAACATAATTTGGGAAATATTTATAAAAAAAAAAATCCCAGGAGCGCTAATAATTTTGACTTTACCTGACAATGGTTTTGAATAATCGTGATTACAATTATGACCAAAATAATCGTGATTATGATTTTTCCCAAAATCGAGCAGCCCAAAAAAATAAAAAATAATCTAAACACATGCTTAAAATTCCAACATAATAGTGAAAATAATTAAAATAAATAACTTTAAATAATTATTTAAATTTTGCTCACTCGGGCAATCTGCTTGTCAACGTGTCGTAAAGGCAAAATCAAAACAAAAATGGCAGACAAACGTAAATGCTGTGATTCTTCAGAGGCGAAGAAAAAGATTAGACAGTATGACAAAGCCTACCTAAAATTTGGTTTTATTGAAGGCCAAGACAAGTTAAAACTGATTAATTAATATTTTCTATACATATTACTATATATTAATATTACACACACACACACACACACACACACACACACACACACACATATATATATATATATATATATATATATATATATATATATATGTGTGTGTGTGTGTGTGTGTGTGTGTGTGTGTGTGTGTGTAATATTAATATATAGTAATATGTATAGAAAATATTAATTAATCAGTTTTAACTTGTCTTGGCCTTCAATAAAACCAAAATTATATATATATATATATATATATATATATACACACACAGTACATATGTGTGTGCGTGCGTGCGTGTGTATTTATATGGTGGGGGGGCTCCAATGTTTGTATATGTTTATGGGGGGGGCCCCGAAGAATAAGGTTGGGAACCACTGCTTTAACACATGTAGACCAACTGTTTTGCTCTAAAGCAGGGATTCAAATTGTTACAATGTTGCGGTTCGCTTTCACATTAGTGTTTCAAAATGGACCGAGATCAAAGTCAAGTCACATACGAGTAAACTCTACTGACATTGGTCAGAGTTCCACACTTTATTTTTCAGTCCCGCTCAGCTGTCATGCATCCTTATTTTAATTTATGGCAATGAGCAATAAACAAAAAGGCTCGGTTTCATTTTGAATAGTGACACCCACAGACATCGTCATCAAATATAAATCAGAGGTAAGACGTTCTCATATTTAGGCTAGAATTACGGATTATAGGCTTTACGTTATGGAGAGAGATAACAGATAAACCAAGACTGCTGTTCAGTGAATTTTCCTAACAGATAAACAGCTCTTGTTAATAGTTCAGCATGTTTTCACTTTTGTATTTGACATGAAAAGCACTTTTACCGGTAGAAATGATGACATCCCTTCCTAATCATCATTCTCTCTCTTCATATTTGCCTATTACATATCCATAATACACTGTGATATAGCCTGGTTTGTAGTCCACTGGATCATATTGCTTTCTCATTACAATAGATCCGCTCCAGAATTCGTTTTAATCAAGCCAAGACCATCTCATTCAGGCGATCTCAGACTGATTGTTTTGGCGTGTATGCGAGCACAATTGCTGGATTCACATATGCCAAAAAAAACGTGCTAACAGGGGAAATGCACCAGGTTACGAAACAAAAGTCTAGGTATGAAAGCACCCTAAAAAGTGTGTTCACGGAAAAGCTATATTGTTACACTGGTCCTAAAAATGTTCACGGGAGTGTAATTCATAAATGCACATTTATTATCCACTGTGGAGACTTTGGTCTCAGCATGTAAGGCTTTATTTTACTAATGGTCATTTCTGACATTGTGGTTGCATGAGATTCACTTGTCTTCTTTCACTATAGTGTGTATAGGCTCCGCACTTTTGTGGAAAGAGGCAGCTCATTTGCATTTAAAGGGAAAAAAACTACATTTCGTTGACAAAATAGGGGCAACTTTGACTTTATTAGCTTTAATAATTGATGTGTATGGTTATTTTACAAAACTTTACAGACTTATTGAGAACACCTGAGATTTACTTTCATTTTTAAGAGAAGGGGAATCCTATGCCCCCTTTAATGGGACAGTTTAACCAAAACTGAAAACTCACCCTGTTTGAGATTGTTTTTTATGTTGGACACAAAAGAAGATATATTAAGCAAAGCTGGAAACCTGAGCCATTGACTTCCATAGTACTTGTTTTTCCTACTATAGAAGTCAATGATTACATGATTTTGGCTTTTGTCAAAATATCTCCTTTTGTGATCAACAGAAGAAAGACGCATATAAAGGTTTAAAGATACCTGAGGGAGAGTGAATAAGGAGTACATTATCATCTTTTGGCTAAACTGTCCTCTTAAGTTCCACCTGCAGATGTGCCGTCAATAAGTGTCACCTACATCAGTGAGTTTACCTGGTTAGGGATGTGCAGGTTGAAATCCAGGCCACACACGAACTCCGAGTGGTGCTCCAGCGTCTCCAGCAGCGCCTGGCTCTTGGAATAATCCCAGAATCTGTGGACGCAGAGCAGCAGAAGGCAATCATGCTAATTGAACGGCCGTTTGTCTTCTCTCAAAGCCCTGACGCAGCCCTGGCTCACCAGGCCCCGACCGATCCATTCAGCAAATGTAATTAAATCACCTCTCTGGAAAAAATAAAAAACCTTCCCTGTCTAAAAGAAAACATTAGGCAGGCATTAATACCAGCATCGTCACAGAGCAGCAGCGAAGGATAGTATTTATAAGGTGAATGAGATGACAGCTGCTCAGGTGTGGACATCTTTAAAAGGAGATGTCTATATTAACCAGCAGTGTGGCATCGATGAGGTTGGTTTATGTTGAAAGGTTCACAGAGAACTAAAAGACATAACTGAACTCTCATACGGTAAAACCCAAAGGTCAACTTTATCAAATGAAATGGGTGTAGTTAACTCAAAATTGACTGAATGTCAATCAACTCATTTGAAAAAGAGTTTTGAACTCGGTGTTGAAGGTAATGTGTTAATTAAATACCTCATTACTTCAATTTGAATGGAGTAAGTTTACAGTATTCATATAGATTAGTTTTTTTAACTCAAATGGTTTGTAGCAATCGGTTGAGTTGCCTTAACTTATCGGGTTTTACAGTCCTCAGTTGGTTTGAGCTCTCTTCATTTATTGAGTTTTACTGTGCTTAAATTGCTTCATTTACTCAAATGGATTAAGTTCACAGTACTCATTAGGATTAGTTTTTTAACTTAAAGGGTTTGTTGCAATCGGTTTCCTCAAATGGTTTGAGTTACCTTAACTTATTAGGGTTTACAGGTAAAAGTGGAGCAAAGCTATAATGCAATAAGAAAAACTGGGGGTTATATTTTCACTCACAGTTAATGCAGAAAATGCGTAATATATGTGAAGATGTTGAAACTAAACACAAACAAAGTCCCTTTAGGGTCCCTTTTATTCTTACTGTAAAACCCAACAGTCAACATGATCAAATTAAATGAGTGTAGTTAACTCAAAATTAACTGAAAGTCAATCAACTCATTTGAAAAAAGAGTTTTGAACTCGGTGTTGAAGGTAATGAGTTAATTAAATACCTCATTACTTCAACTTGAATGAAGAAAGTTCATTGTACTATAATACAATAATATATATTCGTTTTTTTTTAACTCAAATGGTTTGAAGCAAAAATTTCCTTAAACGATTTGAGTTGCCTTACCTTATTGGGTTTTACAGTGCTCAGTTGGTTTGAGTTCTCTTAATTTTTTGGGTTTTACTGTGCTCAAATTGCTTTATTTACTCAAATGGATTAAGCTCACAGTACTCATTAGGATTAGTTTTTGAACTTAAATGGTTTGTTGCAATCGGTTTCCTCAAATGGTTTGAGTGACCTTAACTTTTGGGGTTTTGCAGTGTGAAGTATTTCATACAACTCAGTTAATATCAATAAAATTTAGTACAGTAATATGACTTTTTTTTTTACTTAAACTGCAGAGGAATTGAATCAAATTCAGATAAATTAAATCTCATCATGAGACCAGTGTTATTGTATTTAACATTGATTTTAGTTTTATGAATATAGTTTTAGATTTACTTAAAAGAAATCCTTAATTTATCCCTAATATAGGCTGCTCTTTACTTTTGATTTTTTTTATTGAACATTTTTGATTTTAAACTTTATACTACTGTATATTTGGCGATTCTGTGTGGAGTTGTTCTCCCCATGTTCTTGTAGGTTTCCTGCAGATCCTCCGGTTTCCCCCACAGTCCAAAGACATGCGATACAGGTGAATTGGGTAAGCCAAGTTGTCCGTAGTGTATGTGTGTCAATGAGTGTATATGGGTGTTTCCCAGTGATGTGTTGCAGCTGGAAGGGCATTCGCTGTGTAAAAATGTGCTGGATAAGTTGGCGGTTCATTCCGCTGTGGCGAGCCCAAATTAATAAAGGGACTCAGCCGAAAATATAACGAATGAATGAAAGCCGGAGATCCACCCAACAAAAAAGTCAAACAAAATAAAAACAGTAATACTGCAATAATAGGTGCAAAATCAGGATTGAAACATCACTGATACAGTCTTTCTCATATTTAACTAAAATTGTACAGTTTTCTTACTGCCACCATTTTTTTGGCTGTGGTGTATTCCAAACTACTAATGTCCAGTAGATCGAGCCAGGCTGCTGTTTACTTAACTCAACTAAAATAAAAGCAAATTAAAATATTACTCTTAAAAGTGCAGTGTCATTTTGACTTGGATTTGGACAAACCCCCAAACAATGGGTTAAAAAAAAGAAATGAAATATTGTAGCTAGTGGTTGAATTTTTTATATATATGGTTTAAAAAACAGCTTTAATTATAGTGATCTTTTTGTTCACTTTTTGAATAATTGTTTTTTAATTGTCTCCTGTAATTAGTTTATCTCCCATATACACTCACTGGCCACTTTATTAGGTACACTTTATTAGGTACTAGTACGGTGTTGGACCGCCTTTTGCATTCAGAACTGCCTTAATCCTTCATAGCATAAATTCAACAAGGCACTGGAAATATTACTCAGAGATTTTGATCCATATTGACATGATAGCGTCACGCAGTTGCAGCAGATTTTTTGGCTGCACATCCATGATGCGTATCCCTGTTCCACCACATCCCATAGGTGCTATTAAATTGAGATCTGGCAACTGTGGAGACCATTTGAGTACAGTGAATTCATGTTCAAGAAATCAGTCTAATATGATTTGCGATGACATGGCGCGTTATCCTGCTGGAAGTAGCCATCAGAAGATGGGTACACTGTGGTCATAAAGGGATGGACATGTTCAGCAACATTACTCAGGTAGGCTGTGGCGTTGACACAATGCTCAGCTGGTACTACTGGACCCAAAGTGTGCCAGGAAAATATCCCCCACACCATTACACCACCACCACCAACCTGAACTGTTGATACAAGGCAGGGTGGGTCCATGCTTTCATGTTGTTGACGCCAAATTCTGACCCTACCCCCTGAATGTTGCAGCAGAATTTGAGACTCATCAGACCAGACAACGTTTTTTCGAAACTTCTATTGTCCAGTTTTGGTGAGCCTGTGTGAATTGTAGCCTTAATTTCCTGTTCTTAGCTGACAGGAGTGGCACCTGGTGTGGTCTTCTGCTGTTGTAGCCCATCTGCCTCAAGGTTCGATGTGTTGTGTGTTCAGAGATGCTCTTCTGCATACCACGGCTGTAACAAGTGGTTATTTGAGTTACTGTTGCCTTTCTATCAGCACAAACCAGTCTGGCCATTCTCCTCTGACCTCTAGCGTCAACAAGGCCTTCGCGCCCACAGAATTGGGGTCCGTTCTTCGTACCTCGCTTAAATGATCTAAGATTATTTGGCAGATCCTGGATCTTTTAATCTTGATAACTGATCTCTCTCTAATTTGGTTCTTCAAACAAGTTCGCGAATCAGATTAGAATGTCTGGATGAACTGATCTGAGATCGCTGCGTGTGTTATGAAGGACAGATCTATCGATCCTTGAAATCATGATCAGCAATGCAACGATTGGCTGACGGCACAGCAGCGTAATGACATCATCTGATTAATATTCAATTATCCATGTGAGCAAAATTACATCAAATTAGCAGTAAACGGTTTGTTAAATATGACACGCAATAACTTTCCACATTTGTTGTGAGCTGCAGGCTTTACACTTCATTTGTCAAGAGTATTCATCATGTATTTCAATGCAAACCAGTGTATTTAGTTCCACATTTAGAAAAGATTTTCTTTATTATTGTAGCCGTTTTTTAATCGGTGTAAAGAATAACTGGTTGTTTACAAAAGCATTTTCATATTGGTAAAGGTGTCTGCAACTTTTGTGAAGCATCAAATCACTGGCATATTAACTATCAAAACATGTTTATGACTGCTGACATGTATTATTGTTTTAAAAAAAGTCACATATTCTGCATTTCTATTATACACAATTTGTACTAAAGCGATCTAAAAAGTTAATATCAATAAGTTTTCTCTTTGCACCAGATGGCAGTCTTTGTACTTTCATTTCGAGAGTGCAGATTGTATACGTTTTATTAATATGTATAACTTTATTTATTTTATTAATGACTATAACTTTATATATATAGTTAAAAAATATGTACCATTTTCCCAAGTGTATAAAACTACTACTGTAAGAAAATATCAGAATTCGGTACATACTTTCAGTATTATCTTTGCTTGAACTGAGCTGATCTAATCCTGTTTATATGAATTGAACCTGCTCCCAATCAGGTTTGACCTAGCAGAACTGTTGCCATGACAACAACTCTCGGATCAGCTTTGAAGAACGAAACGATCCTGGATCGTGTCAAATCGTCAATATCCAAATCCAGCTAACTGAGTAATCCACGTACGAAGAACGGACCCCTGCCGCTCACTGGATATTTCCTCTTTTTCTGACCGTTCTCTGTAAACCCTAGAGATGGTTGTGCGTGAAAATCCCAGTAAATCAGCAGTTTCTGAAATACTCAGACCAACTCAAAACACCTTTGTTCCCAATTCCTGATGCTCGGTTTGAACTGCAGCAGATCATCGTGACCATGTCTACATGCCTAAATGCATTGAGTTGCTGCCATGTGATTGGCTGATCAGAAAGTTGCTTTATTAAGTAGTTGGACAGGTGTACCTAATAAAGTGGCCGGTGAGTATGTATAACAAAAAAAAAACTTAAAAAAAAAAACAAAAAAACAAAACAAAGTGTATGTGTGACATTTAATTTGACATTTAATTCCCAATGAACAGCATCACTGCCATACCTCATTTAAACCAATAGATCAATCTAGACGAACTGTCATCATTAAAAAAGGAGTGCTCTTACACAAAGCAGTGAACACAGAAAAGTCAATACCCTTGCTTAATTAGTTGTTAAATAACACAAAGACATACTTTTTCCTCTGCATCGCACTCATATTAATATGTAAGTGGTATTAAAAAGCAGAAAAGCCAGCTGTTAGGAATGAAAGAGGACACCGTATCTCTGACTTATCTGAAAGAG